AGAACCTGATTTAACATTGGTACTGTGTTCTTAAAATAATAGTTCACCTAAAAATTTAAATTCTGAATTCTGGATCACTTACTCCCCTTCGTGTCATTCCAAACATTGTGTTCTTTCTTCTGAGGAACATAAATGAAGATGTTTTGAAAGTTGATAAGTCCAAAAAAAAAACATTTGATTCAATTAACTTTCATTGTATGGACAAAATATATACAGTGTATATATATATATATATATATACATACAGTGTGTATATATATATACAGTATATATACAATATATATATATATATACACTCACCTAAAGGATTATTAGGAAAACCATACTAATACTGTGTTTGACTCCCTTTCGCCTTCAGAACTGCCTTAAGTACTATATCCTCCTGAGACCCAGAAAAAAAAAGTTTTTTGAATTTAGTTTTTTTCCATGTCATCACACTGTTTAGAGCACAATAAACAAATGGTAAAAAAACACATATATAAAATAATATTTTATTCATACGTTATGCTATGTCCTCTGTAGTGGACGCCAGGACTAAGTTGTTTAAAAAATAAAATGACATGAAATTATATGTATAGGCAAAAACAATGGGATTTTTTTTCAATCACCAATAAATTTTGGGGTTTCAGGATTTTTTCAACCAAAATTTGTATAAAGATTATTCTCAACTATGTTATGAAAGAAATAATGGAATGAATTGATACACCATTTTACTTTTTGCAATATGTGGGTAAAATGGCCATAAGTTAATATTCCCATTCAATGCAATGTATCTATACACTGTATCTAATTTGCACATTAATGTGTTCTTGGAGCAACATTTAATGAAAAAAGAAGTGTAACAATTGGAGTAATTATTGGCAACATTTTAATAATATCATCTAATATTTCAAAGGAATATTGATGTATAATTTATCTCCATATTCACTTGTTGTGTCTCCCAGAATGCCTGATAAACATGGTTTTAGTCCTGATGTCCTCTACAGTGGACACGTTTGAAATCAATGCCCTGTTCTGTAACAAAGTATTTTTTTTATTTGAAACCCCTTAACATTTCCCTGAGATGTTGTTTTATGAAATACAATTTGAAAAAGTAGTCCAATTTAAATATAATTACAATATATTATCATATTTCCATAAGAATGCTACATTTGATCACTAAATTAATGTCAGACATTTTTAAAGACCAAGGAGAAGTTGTTTTCATGATGAAACCTCCAAACATTTGGTATCTCTGAAAAGTCCTGAATGTGCTCTTTACAGGACACCCAGGTTCAGGGGCGGACTGGCCATCTGTGTGATCTGGAGAATCACAGAACGGCCGGTACTCCAGGACGGCCGGCGGGCCGGCCCACCGGCCCACCACCCGCCACACACGCAGTCACAGACATCCCAAGTCTCCCGGAAGTTCCGGGAGTCTCCCGCATATTTATAGCGGCTCACTGATGCCCGCAAATTAGTTAAAATCTCTCGGAATCTAGAGCGAATAAGAGTGCGCATGCGTAGCGCGCGCACGGCAGAGAGAGGGAGCGAGCTAGAGACCTTGCGTGTGTGTGCTAGTGTGCGCGTGTGCCTCACGAAGCGCATGTAAGGACCCAACCAATCAAGTGCGGGCGGGCTTTTATCTCTAATACTCACGAACCGAATTAATCAGAAATTACTTTGCAAGTTACTTGCTAGGGATGATGTTAGGAAGTGATATTCAGCTTGCTACATTTTTAATGATTACAGTAGTTAAAACAGCTAAACTTCAACATTTTAGCTGTAAAATGCCACATGCAGTAGCTAATATTAAGAAATATGTTGTGCTTTTACTTTTAAAAATGTTGGTAACGTTACAGTTAATGCTTACAAACTTTGAAGATTTTGAATACAGAAGTTACATTTGTAATGGTGTAGCCTATTTTCATTTAGATGTGGTATTATTATTTGTGCAGTAGCTAAGATTAATTACTGCATAAATTAATTAAGATTATTAAGTAATAAATTCATTTTAAGACAGCATGGAATGGATTGTATAATTTGCTGTTAGCTAGGTATAGTATTATGAGCCACAATTAAAGTCTTGTGACACTCATGCCAGGCGGCAGGCGTTATTGTTGTTGTTGTCGAGTTTCCGCGGGCCGATTGCTTTGGGCCGGGCCTGGTCAAAGTCCAGGGCCGTTTTTTAGTCCCAGTCCGTCCCTGCCCAGGTTGTGTCATGTGACATGTATGATGTCAGAGAAATTCACTAAAATATAATGTCCACTACAGTGGACAAAAGTCTATTCTTGGGTCCCAGGAGGATATATACTATACTATATATACGTGGCATTGATTCAACAAGGTGCTGAAAGCATTCTTTAGAAATGTTGGCCCATATTGACAGGATAGCATCTTGCAGTTGATGGAGATTTGTGGGATGCACATCCAGGGCACGAAGCTCCCATTCCACCACATCCCAAAGATGCTCTATTGGGTTGAGATCTGGTGATTGTGGGGGCCATTTTAGTACAGTGAACACATTGTCATGTTCAAGAAACCAATTTGAAATGATTCGAGCTTTGTGACATGGTGCATTATCCTGCTGGAAGTAGCCATCAGAGGATGGGTACATGGTGGCCATAAAGGGATGGACATGGTCAGAAACAATGCTCAGCTAGGCCGTGGCATTTAAACGATGCCCAATTGGCACTAAGGGGCCTAAAGTGTGCCAAGAAAACATCCCCCACACCATTACACCACCACCACCAGCCTGCACAGTGGTAACAAGGTATGATGGATCCATGTTCTCATTCTGTTTACACCAAATTCTGACTCTACCATCTGAATGTCTCATCAGAAATCGAGACTCATCAGACCAGGCAACATTTTTCCAGTCTTCAACTGTCCAATTTTGGTGAGCTCTTGCAATTTGTAGCCTGTTTTTCCTATTTGTAGTGGAGATGAGTGGTACCCGGTGGGGTCTTCTGCTGTTGTAGCCCGGTCTTCTGCTGTTGTAGCAACTCAAGGTTGTGCTTGTTGTGGGGGTGGGCGATATGAGCAAAAATTCATATCACGATATTTTTCACTGTCCGGACGATATCGATATTATATTGCGATATGAGAAAAAAAATTGGAATCACATTTTAGTACACCATAGTTAAATTACAGGCAAAATATGTATTTTAACAGTAGATAACTAGAAAAATGTTTATTTTTATTTTTTATTGTGCCATTTTTTTTCTCAAAAAGTGCAAACGTGCAACATGAGGTAGGCCTGAATGCACTTGTTATGTTTTTCCACTTTTTGCTCGTCTTGTCATAATGAGAACCGGCAGCGAATGAAGACTTTATTGATTTCTGAGTGAGAGCCGTCTTTGGGTGTGCTCTGTCTCCGCCGGGAATATCTGTTGTTATAGTTTTGCTTTTTTAAATTAGTTTTTATTTTAATATCGTTTTCAATTTTGCTTTAAATTTCAGTTTAGTTTTAGCTAGTTTAATTAATGGTTTTGTTAGTTTTTATTTTGCAAACACATTTCTTTATAGTTTTTATTTTATTTAGTTTCAGTTTTAGTAATTATAGTTTAGCTTTAGCAGAGCGAGCAGAACACTTCCAGTGTAGACCAAAGCGAGACGTTTAATTTAAGTTTAATGTTTGCACAGATTACAGTTAACTCTTGTGCAGACATCTTAATAATAAAAATAACATAATGGTTTGAGATTGAACAAAGCACCAAATAAATAGAACTTAAAAGTATACAAGAAAAAAACAATGAAAATTTTAATACAAACTAATTCATTAGTGTAAGGAGACAGAATAAAGGCCTACAGTTTGTACAGTATAAAACCCATTACGTCTATGGAGAGTCCCCACAAAGATAGTGGACCAGTGTGTGTGTATGCGCGCGCTTATGTGTGTGTCGTATATATGCGTGCGCTTATGTGTGTGTCGTGTCCTGTTATTCATAGCCTAACGTTACATTGCGGGGAAATGACTCCACGTGGATAATATTATTAGCAGTAAATGTTTTGTAAAAACAAAGATAATAATAGCAGCTTTCAGCCTTTCAACCTTCATGAAAACATGACATCTCACAGTAGCCTAGAACTTTAACGTTTTTTTGTGCTTGACGAACTTGTTTTGGTGTTGCACCCGCGTCTCGCAAATGAAACGGCATTCTAAAAATGCTGCGCTCAAGTTAAAAGTCAAACTTGCGTCTCATTACCTTGTTATTTCCCATTCCACCGCAAAAGATGCATCCTTTATGAACAGCCGCTTAGCACTAGCGATGTGTTCTACGTTACGGTCCTTCATTGAACGCGGTGCGTTCACACCGGACGCGAATAGCGCGTCAAGGCCAATTTATACTTCTGCGTCGGGTGCGCGCAGTAGGTACGGCGTAGCATACGCACAGACGCGTACCATACGCCGTACCCTTCGCCGTAACCTGACGCGCACCTCCTCAAAAATGTAACTACACGTCGCGACGACGCGGACCGCAAGATCTGTGATTGGTCGGCTTGGGAGCATCGCGTTTCCTCCTATGTATTTCCGGCGTGTTCTTCTGCACCGCCCGCCATTTTTAAATTCTAAGTACAGCGAAACTGTTAAAAAAACAAAAAAATTACCTTTTCCACCTCGATAAGCTCCAACTCCAACATGATCTGCTCTCTTTCAGTCGACATTGCTTGTAGTAACCTAAACTCAAAACAGCCGCGAGGAATCTTCTTCTTCTTGCCGCGAGGAATCTAAACACAGTGGAACATTAAAACCCTCCGCCGCCAACTAGCGTTTCGGCGCTGTACTGCAGAGCAACGCAGACCTAGGCCCTGTCCCAAATGGCACACTTCATATGCACTTTCGGTCTTGTGGACTTACAATGGCTGCCGCGTGCGCGTGTCCGTTAAGTCCGTGAGACCGTAGTGTGTCCCATTTGTCATTTTTAGATCTCAGAAGGGTGCTCGCGAGCGCCCCCTCTGCGGTCGATTTGCGCCCTTGATGCGCACTTTTGCCGAGCCCGCGCTGATGCGGACTCCACAGCAGACTCGACGCAGAAGTATAACGCCGGGTTCACACCGGACGCTGAAGCGACGCGGAACGGAAATTCACGCGCGGTCCGGCGCGTGCCTGTTCACACCAGACGCGTGTTCTTCGCGGAGGTCGACAAGCGCTTCTGCTCAGTTGTTTATTCAGAGCTATTTTTTTTTTTACATCATGGGTAAGTAAATAACCTCATAATATAAATACACCATGTTTCTGTAACCAAGAAGTTTGTGCCTCTCCCTCTCGTTGTTTCCCTGTTTGTTTGTGTGTTCGCATTTGTCACTCGCGGTATTTTAATTTAAAAATTGCTTTTATTTTGACAATTGACCGGATAGTCGAGTGTTTCTTGGTGTAACTTCCTTCCGGAATTGACGCGGATCACTCGCGGCTCGCGGAAAAAATAGACCAGACGCCGAAACTGGCGCTTCACGGCGCGTGCCGCCTGCGCCGCGCTGCGGCGCTCCACGTCTGGTGTGAACGACACCATAGGTTAACATGGGCGCCGAAAGGAAGCGGCCTCCGTTCCGCGCCGCTTCCGCGTCGCTTCAGCGTCCGGTGTGAACCCGGCGTAAATTGGCCTTCAGGCGCGAGTGATTTCAATGTTGTCAATGCAAAGACGCGTTACGCGCGTAAAAAATTCCTGCAGCGCGAATGAGGCGTAGAGCGCGGCGCGGTAGACGCGAATACGCCTCAAGCCTTGTTAACGCCGGGTTCACACCGGACGCTGAAGCAACGCGGAACGGAAATTCACGCGCAGTCCGGCGCGTGCCTGTTCACACCAGACGCGTGTTCTTCGCGGAGGTCGACAAGCGCTTCTGCTCAGTTGTTTATTCAGAGCTATTTTTTTTTTTACATCATGGGTAAGTAAATAACCTCATAATATAAATACACCATGTTTCTGTAACCAAGAAGTTTGTGCCTCTCCCTCTCGTTGTTTCCCTGTTTGTTTGTGTGTTCGCATTTGTCACTCGCGGTATTTTAATTTGAAAATTGCTTTTATTTTGACAATTGACCGGATAGTCGAGTGTTTCTTGGTGTAACTTCCTTCCGGAATTGACGCGGATCACTCGCGGCTCGCGGAAAAAATAGACCAGACGCCGAAACTGGCGCTTCACGGCGCGTGCCGCCTGCGCCGCGCCGCGTCTGGTGTGAACGACACCATAGGTTAACATGGGCGCCGAAAGGAAGCGGCCTCCGTTCCGCGGCGCTTCCGCGGCGTTTCAGCGTCCGGTGTGAACCCGGCGTTATACTCGACGCGTCCGCAAGAGCGCGAAGTGCGCGCGGCAAAAATGACGTCATTGCGGTGTGGGCGGTCGTGCGCGTTGGGTGCGCAAGACCCCATTTCGCCTGGCGGTGTGCACGGCACTTTTTGTAACATCGCGCGCGGCGCCGCATCCGAAGATGAACGACTTCGAGCCGAATCTGGCCGAACTGGTATGTCTGTACCACCATGTTTATGATCCTTCTATACACAGAGACATTTGCATTGATGGGCGACCATAAAAGCCTCTCATTTTGTGAATAGGAACACATTTACATTAAGCACCCAGTTTGCACTTGTATAAAGTAACTGCTTACATTTACAAAATAAGCCTACAATAGCAGAAGTAAGCCCTGCTAATGAAATTAAGGTTTAAACACTCTTCAATAAGGCTTCAGTTGTTTACTAGTTTACATGCAGTGAAAGTGCAATAAACCTACTGCATTTATTACTCTTTTTATATGAATCAGAAATGAATAAACTACTAATAAATGGCAAACTACTTCTTCACTGCTGATTCCTGGTGGTTTAGAGGAGAATTACTCCGAGTCGCCCCCTGTCGTTTCACAGAATAGCACAACGGCGAGCGCGTCAAGTATAAACGCCTCGTCTATATGGAGAGGTCCGCGCGCAGTCAGCGGAGACTCGCGCTCGTGCGGACGCGTCGAGTATAAACAAGGCTTCATTCGCGCGTCAAGTTCGCGCGAATGGGGCGAATTGAGCGTCTGGCGCGTTAAGCGCGAATGATTTAGTTAGTGCTATTTGTGCATTCAAGCGTTTGACGCGAATTCGCGTCTGCCGCCCGAGTTGAAAAATCTGAACTTCTGCGTCAATTCGCGCCGCGTTAACCAATCAGGAGCCTAGCTGCTTGCTGCTGTCACGTGGTGAAGTATCTGGATGCTTCAATAAATTATTTTGTAATATATGACTGTGGTTCTAATGCACAACAAAGCAAATATTTTATCACATAAAACTTGATTTCAATATATGAGACATATCCATTTTGTATTGAATGCTATTTATTCCATATCTAGATTATATGAAATATTATTATAATGTAAAGACAACCAACATATAAGTTCGTATCTGGACAGTGATGTGTGAGAGAGAGAGAAAAAAAAAAATTACAGGACAGATTAATCACTTTTGGAGGCTGACTTCATTTATTATCAAAACAAAAATAAATGACAGATTAGGTGGATGCGGGCGAGGGTGAACCTCGCACCGGGCTGTAGAGCGCGGGCTCGACAGGCATAGACCACTCGAGGCCGAGGGCTTATACGGCCTACGCTGTCCTCGTCAGCGTCCTCACCATTAGGTCCACCAAACCTAGCTCCTGGAGCAAATTGTGAAACTCCTGAAACCCTCCGGAGGTTCTGGTGGACCCGAGTACAGCGACGATGTCCCCTACGCAGCGGTTTCTGCTCTCCAGAGCATATACGAGCGGTGACTCTCTCGAATAATGCTAATGCTAATGCTCGATAAACATCTAAAAAGAAAACCCGCCAACGGGTTTCGCCTCTGACGCGCGTAAATTTCGCTTCAAACTTTTGTTTTTACGCGCGTCAATTTCGCCATTGACACGCGAATTAACACAAAGTGGTCAAGCGTCAAACTAGACGCGGTAGACGCGAATTTGACGCGCTATTCGCGTCCGGTGTGAACGCACAGTCACAGGACAGCGGTTAATCGCCTCAGCAACTTCACGCGTATGAAGCGCCAAATCAGCCATTTCCTTGAACAACGTATTTGATTCTGTATCGTCATTCGTGTTAACAGTTGTAAAGAGTACCAAATTGAACAAAACAATATAACTGCAAAATTTGAATTTATGAATACAGTCTCCTCGTTATCGCAAAATCCATATCATGGCACAACATAATAATACCGGTATTCAAGTTCATACCGGTATAGCGCCCACCCCTAGCGTGTTGTGGCTTCACAAATGCTTTGCTGCATACCTCGGTTGTAACGAGTGGTTATTTCAGTCAAAGTTGCTCTTCTATCAGCTTGAATCAATCGGCCCATTGTCCTCTGACCTCTAGCATCAACAAGGCATTTTCGCCCACAGGACTGCCGCATACTGGATGTTTTTCCCTTTTCACACCATTCTTTGTAAACCCTAGAAATGGTTGTGCGTGAAAATCCCAGTAACTGAGCAGATTGTGAAATACTCAGACCGGCCCGTCTGGCACCAACAACCATGCCACGCTCAAAATTGCTTAAATCACCTTTCTTTCCCATTCTGACATTCAGATTGGAGTTCAGGAGATTGTCTTGACCAGGACCACACCCCTAAATGCATTGAAGCAACTGCCATGTGATTGGTTGATTAGATAATTGCATTCATGAGAAATTGAACAGGTGTTCCTAATAATCCTTTAGGTGAGTGTATATATATATATATATAGTATATCAAAATATCTTTTTTTGTAGAAAGTCATACAGGTTTGGAATGACGACAGGGTGAGTAAATGATGACAGTATATTCATTTTTATCTCTTTAGTAACACTTCAGTTAAATTTCTGTCCTGATTACATAAAATGTATGCAGATTATTGCAATAAAAATACAAAATGATCTGCAAAATAATGTTTTTTAATAACATTAATTTTTTTTTACTTATAAATATCATACCGCGTGGGTTCTCATACTGCCAGGCACAATTCCACAATTCAAGGCGAATGTGACCCAGATGGACAGGTCATTTACAAGAATTAATCACATAAAATATGAAATTCAACACCTAAATATACTGTAGCATGAAATGGGAGTTTGAGTGACTCTCACCAGTCTGATATTTTGATAGGAGGTTGCAGTTGATCCATGAAAGCACCACTATAACCTTCTTCCGTCAAATCAATCAGCTGTCGTTTCAAACATAACCTGAGGACAAAGTTTATGAGTGATTCATGTGTGGAATTGCTTCATCTTTGATTGAACTTTCTAAAATATCAAACATACCCATAAGATGTTACAAAACATTTGGTGACTGTGTCGTCCGGAAATGGTTTCCTATTTTCCTCGGCTGCCCAACGGTCACCTCCATTCTGTACAATCTCCCATCCGTGAAGATCATCTAATAAGAACATCAGATAAAAACCACAAGCACAAACATTCTCTTTTTTTATACTGACATGTTCTGTACAGTCCTAATTATGTGGCTCACCATCAGCTCTGGGATTCTTGAGCAAGTTCCGTCGCTTCTTAGTTATAAAGTAAAACAGGCGCCAGTCCTTTGGGGGTCTGGAAGCATCACAGGGCTGGATCCCCTCTCTCCGACAGCGCTCTCTCCAGTGTGCAGCACTGTCCACCAGCTCCTTCCACTCACGACACACCAGCCGACAGACTCGCACCACCTGATGTTCAGGCAGGTTCAGTAGGATCTCCTCAACGACAGCTAGAGGAACATTTGGCTGCAAAACTGTGCACTGACAGAGGAAAAAAGATTACCTTTCAATTTAGATCCAGCTGTGGAACATGGTTGCTGTTAGTTGGTCCGAGCTGGTCATCTGCTACCATGTTCCACCCCGACCATTTTAAGATGGTATGACCATGGTTTATTGCTGGTCCACAATGATCGACTTATCAGGCAAGTCAGTCAATTTCAAGATATATCCAAGTTATAATATGATGCTAATTCTCTATAGCAATTGGCTATAACTGAAACCAAAAACTCAAAAACTTACTGAGTGTGAATGACCCGTCCCATTCTTGATTTTTTTAAATGACATTTGATATATAAGTCACTTTTGCGCGTCTTCAAACACGAAAGTTACGTTTCAAAGTCTGACAATGTTACAAAGAAAAAAGAAAACGCAAATAATAGCCACTTTCGCATTAGTGTCAGACCGATTTTCTAACCACGAGGCTGACTCCAGCTCCTTTTTCGCCAGCTCCTTATTCATCGAACTATTCGTTCCACCTTAAAAATGTTGGGCGGTTGTTAACCCCTCCCTCTCGGTGCTTTTGGCCGTATTTCTTAAAGGAACAGTTGTATGTGAATTACAAGCCTGTGGATCGGGCAGCATTTTTCATTTAACAGTGATTTTCATTTAACAGTGAAAATAAATAGCCTATTCCTGAAAAGATCATCTTGTCTGCCTCTATAAATGGTGTAAGCTATGTGGTAAATTATTATTTTATAATTACTAAATGTTTTTTTTTTAAAGTATGGAGAAACGTGACAGTATGTTTCCAACTGAGATTTAATGTAATGTAATTTCTGTTCTTTATTAGAAGTTATCCATTACTCCAGTCTAACATATTTATAATGTATGTATATATATATATATATATATATGTGTGTGTGTGTGTGTGTGTGTGTGTGTGTGTGTGTGTGTGTGTGTGTGTGTGTGTGTGTGTGTGTGTGTGTGTGTGTGTGTGTGTGTGTGTGTGTGTGTGTGTGTGTGTATACTGGACAAAGCATACTAGAGGTGTCATTACTTTATTATTTCACAAGGTCTCAAAAAAACAGGAACGTAGAGGCCTAGATTAATTCATTCTTAAATGAAATCTTGCATTACAACATTTTCTGATGTGTTATTATTGAAATATGGTACCCAGAACACGCCCCACCATTGCAACTTTATGTGCCGACAGCATACTGGAGGTGTCATTACTTTATTATTTCACAAGTTCTCAAAAAAACGGGAACGTAGAGGCATAGATTAATTCATTCCTAAATGAAATCTTGCATTACAACATTTTCTTATGTGTTATTGTTGAAATATGGTACCCAGAATATGCCTCTACATGCAACTTTATGTACCGATGTAGCATACTGGAGGTGTCATTACTTTATTATTTCACAAGTTCTCATAAAAACAGGAACGTAGAGGCATAGATTAATTCATTCTTAAATGAAATCTTGCATTACAACATTTTCTAATGTGTTATTATTGAAATATGGTAGGCTACTCACAACATGCCCCACCATTGCAACTTTATGTGCCGACATAGCATACTGGAGGTGTCATTACTTTATTATTTCACAGGTTCTAAAAAAAACAGGAACGTAGAGGCCTAGATTAATTCATTCTTAAATGAAATTTTGCATTACAACATTTTCTGATGTGTTAATATTGAAATATGGTACCCAGAACATGCCCCATCATTGCAACTTTATGTGCCGACATAGCATACTGGAGGTGTCATTACTTTATTATTTCACAAGTTCTTAAAAAAACAGGAACGTAGAGGCATAGATTAATTTATTCTTAAATTAAATCTTGCATTACAACATTTTCTGATGTGTTATTATTGAAATATGGTACCCAGAACATGCCCCACCATTGCAACTTTATGTGCCGACATAGCATACTGGAGGTGTCATTACTTTATTATTTCACAAGTTCTCAAAAAAACGGGAACTTAGAGGCATAGATTAATTCATTCTTAAATGAAATCTTGCATTACAACATTTTATGATGTGTTATTATTGAAATATGGTACCCAGAACATGCCCCACCATTGCAACTTTATGTGCCAGGGGCGTAGCCAGTATTGGGCCAGGGCGGCACTGGCCCGCCCACATTACTCACTGGCCCGCCCAGGCAAGTTTGATAAAAATACATTTTTAGTTTATTTTTATTCAAATGTATTTAAGAAAATATATTAATATATACCTGATTTATTGTTGACTGCTGTGTGTGTTTAATTCGTTTTCCGAATAAAATGGAACTGTCGAAGCAAGTTGTAGAAAGCCTCTCTCCGGAACGTTATTGGTTGCTATGGTTGCTGGGGGTTCCGACAGGAAAACTCTCAGCGGCGTCGGCGCCACAATAATGGCTAAACAACTTTCTTTAATGTGCTATTTGAAAAAAGCAAGAGTTGAGGAAGAAGACACGCCACTGCCTTCATCTACCGAGTCCACCCAGCCCAGTTCTTCCGACTCATTACCCCAGGAGAAGGCTAGTCAGGTGCTGGTGGCGGCTGCTTCTTGCTCCCTCTCTCCCGATCAGCCTAACGTGGGTTTACCCGCCGATCTAACTGCGATATTATTATTTTAGCTTACTTTATTTTCGGGTGAACTGTCTTTGCACTGCTGACTAGCCTGAATAAAATAGACAGGTTATTGTCTACACTGGTTTGTCCAGCCTTTATTAAGCTCTGTTGGTTGAACATGATGATTTGCCGAATATTAAGGTGTAACTGTTTTTGCAGTTTCAGTTTGTCTATTAATTTTTCTACTCTCTAAGGTTAATTATTACTGAAGTCATTTTTTTCTATGAAAAACTATAGGCCCACTCACATTTTCACTGGCCCACCCAAAATACAATTTCTGCCTACGCCACTGGTGCCGACTTAGCATACTGGAGGTGTCATTACTTTATTATTTCACAAGTTCTCAAAAAAACAGAAACGTAGAGGCATAGATTAATTCATTCTTAAAAGAAATCTTGCATTACAACATTTTCTGATGTGTTGTTATTGAAATATGGTACCCAGAACACGCCCCACCATTGCAACTTTATGTGCCGACAGCATACTGGAGGTGTCATTACTTTATTATTTCACAAGTTCTCAAAAAAACAGGAACGTAGAGGCATAGATTAATTCATTCTTAAATGAAATCTTGCATTACAACATTTTCTGATGTGTTGTTATTGAAATATGGTACCCAGAACATGCCCCACCATTGCAACTTTATGTGCCGACATAGCATACTGGAGGTGTCATTACTTTATTATTTCACAAGTTCTCAAAAAAACGGGAACGTAGAGGCATAGATTAATTCATTCTTAAATGAAATCTTGCATTCCAACATTTTATGATGTGTTATTATTGAAATATGGTACCCAGAACATGTCCCACAATTGCAACTTTATGTGCCGACTTAGCATACTGGAGGTGTCATTACTTTATTATTTCACAAGTTCTCAAAAAAACGGGAACGTAGAGGCATAGATTAATTCATTCTTAAATGAAATCTTGCATTCCAACATTTTCTGATGTGTTATTATTGAAATATGGTACCCAGAACATGCCCCACCATTGCAACTTTATGTGCCGACTTCTAGGTTGTACGTCACACATCACACACATGACCAGCGTCGGCCAATAGTGAGCCTACATGTGACGTGCAACCTAGAAGCTTTGCGTAGATTCACTATGTGAAATATCACGGCCTTACAGAGTAGTTGAATAAAGTCGTTCTTTTTGTTTGTTTTTTGCGCACAAAAAATATTCTTGTCGCTTGATAAACTTAAGATTGAGCCACTGTAGTCACTCGGACTATTTTAACGATGTCTTTCATAACTTTTGGGCCGGCCAGTTTCGATCCCTTAAGAAGCCTATGGAGGAGTGATCCAGCTCTCAGATTTCATCAAAAATATCTTAATTCGTGTTCCGAAGATGAACGAAAGTCTTACGGGGTTGGAACAACATGAGGGTGAGTAATTACTGACAGAATTTTCATTTTTGGGTGAACTAACCCTTTACGAAAGGTCAGGCCATGGGAAGGGCATCTCTGGGGTGCTACAGATCATTTGGCAGTCAGCACTAAAGTTCTTTATATGATAAAGACTTGGTTAAGAACCGCAGTGACTACTAAAGTACAAGCAGAGCGCTCAATGCAACCCTAACTGCCGCAATGGTTGGCTGTAGCCCAGCTAACAGCTGTGAGGATCCCCGGTGAGGAAACAGAGAGAAATGGAAGTGACTGCATGGGCAAGAGTAATGGTGATCCAGCTCTCATGTGTAGCTCGCTGTGTTGACTTGGCAAAGGTAGTGGATCAAGATGAGCTCAAATTTACATGATGATGGTGTATGTCTGAAAATAACAGATGGAAAAACAGGATCATAATGGAACCCAAATGCTTGCAGTCACGATCAGCAGAGAGTAGGTGCTACTTTAAAAGACCACAGGATGGGGTCAGCAAATTCATCTGCAGTAGTGCTGAGCTGAGTGACAGCAACATGGCAATGAAACAACGAGTTGCACAAAAAAGGAGAGGAAATTACTTTTTTAGCTTCTGGAAATAAGAAAGGAAACCCTGGACTAAAGCCTTCCGTTTAGAACTATAAATTAGTAATGCAGCACACATAATCAATCAGCTTTCCACCTAAGCAACGGTGTCATATATCAGAGTTAGAGATAGAGGAGACCAGCGTTGTGATAAATATTAATGTACGTCATCAGGCCAAATACAGGCCAGAGGCCTTCTATCATCTCATATAAAAAGTATCAACAGGTGCTGCAACTCATTCATATCAATAGCCTTTTTTAAACATACATTTCATTGAATTATTAATTTTATTTTTTTTAATTTTTATATAAGTCTTGCTTGTGAAAGGTAATTCCTCGAAAGCTGTTTTCAATTGTGTGGCGATGTGTACAGCCCCAAACAGCGCACAAAACATGCATTTTTCTCAATTCCCGGTATGAGAGGTATGGGAAAGTTGCCCTCCCCAACATGGCGGCGCCGTTGACGTACGCTCCAGCGGCCAATAGGGCGTCTATGTATTTATTATGTCTATGGTGATGACAACGCGTATGTTGACGGACGCTTTGAATGCGAGAGTCGAGAGATATACATTTAATTAATTAAATTCTAATAAAAATTATTTCAATGCCCATGGAAACTAAGTGATGGTGCGTACAATGCATGGTAATAAAAACATTCGGGGCTTTACTGAAAACATTCGGGGCTCCAGCCCCCTTAGCCCACCCCTAGCGCCGCCCCTGGGCGTTTGTATGAGTTGTAAATGGCTGGCAACAACTTCATAACAC